GAGACAAGATGTAATCTCTCTGTTGTGTATAGTCTTCCAGATCCAAAGAAAATAACTGACGGAGCTCCTATATTTCAACAAAAGACGGCTCTCTTGTGGTGGGGAGATGGTGGAATCGCTAACCCTGCTGTTGCAGCCGAAGAATACCCTCATCACCTTCAAAATCATATTTGGAAGATCCCAGCCGCTATGCAACCTGTAACCTTGTACAATGTTTCATATTCAGGGACTAGTCGATCTGTATCTACTACTTATAATTTTACTAGGTTTAAAATGTATAATATTACTGTTTGTGCACCTCTACCTTATGTCTTTTTAGTGGGAACTTTTAATTTTACACATTTTTCTTGTACTTGTTTAAATTGTCAATTGTTTACATGCTTAAATAGCACACTAAATTTCACTAAGCCTTATACAGTTATGCTGTTACAACAAAAAACTCATATTTGGTTGCCTGTAAATTTAACTCGACCTTGGTCTCAAGACCCGGTAATTTCTGTTACTACTGAATTTTTTAAACATCTGTTAAAACGTACAAAAAGATTTATTGGAATAGTGGTTGCTGTACTGTTAAGTCTGATAACTGTAGCCTCTCTAGCAGCAGTCTCAGGAGTAGCTTTACATACCTCTTTGCAAGAAAAACATGTTGTCGAATTATGGCATGAGAATTCTCATGAACTTTGGTTAACTCAGTGGCAAATAAACGCCAAACTACAACAACAAATAGACCTCCTTAAACAAACAGTTGAATGGATGGGTAGAAAAATATTGGCTCTTCAGCATCAAGTGTTTTTAAAATGTGATTGGAATTCAACTACTTTCTGTATAACCCAACGACCTTATAATCAGACAGAACATGAATGGGAAATGATTAGAATGTATTTAAATGGAAACACCTCTGCCCAGGAGGAAATAGAATCTTTGCATAATCAAATTGACAAGGATTTTGCAAAGCAAAATGATGATGAATCTCTAGCACAATTCGCGCAATTGCTTGCTCAATCTTTGAAAGGATTAGATTCCAAAGGAATCTGGCAGAGCATTACCCACACTTTTAGTGGCATGGGACTTAGTTTAATTATAGTTCTCATTGCCATAGTTCTTGTGTATTTTTACTGCATAAGACGAAATGCTATTAATAACCTGATCTTATGGAAATTATTGTTAAAAAATAAAAAGGAAGGAAGTGTGGGGGATGAGGTGTCACTTTGTAGGCCCAACCCCCTCTAACCTGCAATTTACAATAGCCGCCCTGGTATGCGAGAAGGAGGTAGAACGGGAATGCCTGTTCTCAGTGAGCCCTCACCCTCTGGAATCCATACTGTGAGCTGGCTTTGTTTTGCAGAAGTCTTGAGGAAGTGGCTGGCCACCCTTTGTGACACTAACAGCAGACAAATTAACAACATTCTTGAGCTAATGAATTTCTTCCTGGGCTAGAGAAGTTGTGAGAACTGGTTGTGATTATTTACTTCACTTAGATAGTTTTAGAATAAACATTGTAGTCTGTCACGTTGTAGCTTGCCACAAAGAATGCCTTTTCACTACTTAATTATCTGGGCTCTGTGAATTGATCGGGTTTACTATATATGAATCCTAAAATAAAGATTGTGCGTACAGTGCAGTGCAGTGCAGTGTAACGCGGTGCAGACAGCAAAGGTGTCTCTCCTGTCTTTCTTTTCCAAGCGCTGTACCCCCCGTGTCCCGACAAGGCGTGCGTGTTTACCTTGCCCGGAGTTCAGAGTGCTCTAGACACTCACGACACACACCCTCTTCACAGTCCGGGGGCAGGGCGTGGACTCCACACTCAGCTGCAGCCGCTGTATTTCCTGATTTTCACAATGTCTCACCTGGGCTGAGCTCAAACCCATGATCCTCTGGCCTCAGATGTCCAGATTCCTGCAGCTTGCCAATCCGCCCATCTCCTGTCAGTCTTGCCTGCTTTCTTACTTTCTGTATAGAAATCCACTGTGGCATGTTCTGTCTCCCGCCCTCCAGGCCTCTCCTTGCCCAGTCAGGAAGCAGGAATGTCAGTGCTATGAACGCTCTGGTGACTTCCCTCAGCCTCGCCCACTGGGAGTCAAGGCCCTGCATCACGCAGTGCAGCCAAGGCCCCACCTGCCCTCCCCCACCACAGCCCTGGCCCTGGCCAGGGAGAGAATCCCGCAGGAGGAAGGCAGTGCTGCAGGGTAGGGCTTCCGAGTCTGACTTCGACGCCAGCTTTCCTGGCAGCGACCAAGGCACCAGGCCCTCGCTCCAGCTCCATGTTACTAAGGTCACTACGCACTTGCAAGGGGAAGCCCCCCAGACTCTCCTTTTGGGAAATGAATGTGGGAACCTGAACATGGCCTCCTTTCCCTCTGCTCTTTGATAATTCACTTTGTGATCGCCTGGCTCATCCCGAAGTGAGTTAGCAGTGCGGTAGATGAACTAATGGGCAACTTGTGACACCCAGCTGAACTGAGTCAGCGAGGTGTTGGGTGGGGAGGGCCCACCTGAGGATGGCTGCCAACAGCATGGAAGGGGAAGACAGTGCTCTTGATTCTCCTGGAGAAGCTGGTCGCGCTGGTTTTCCTGACAGGAACTTGACTATTTTCAGTGTCAGAGGAGCTCAGGTCCTCACCGTCACTGAGGATGGCTGTGGTTCTCTTCCGGGCAGCTCTGGGCCTTACCTTGAGCATTGCTTCCTGGCTCCTCAGCTGCTGGCACAGCTCCTTCACCAGCTGGCACAGACTTTCCAGCCTCCGTTACTGAACTTTGTGCCTTCCCAGAGCAGATCATTGGTACAGACTTGCACAGGACATTGCCATGAGCTCTAGATCTTTTGCTGGACTTGTGCAGGACACTGCTGTGGGATCTGAGCCCTCAGTTGGATTCTTCGGGTCTCAGTGTGTAGACAGATTTCCTGCACTCTTTTTGCATTTGCACTCTTTGGGTGAATATTGTAAAATAATCTTATAGATTATAGATCCTGTATTAAGTTGATTTCCTTGCAAACTATAAGATAAGCAGGGAAACTCAAGCTGACTTTGGGGGAGAAGACTGTACCCAAAGAGCGCTTTGGTCAGACTGGGCCAGCTCTGAGCCACATGGATCAGAGCTGCCAGGATAGGGACAGACGCGGGCTTTCAACCCTGGGACCTCTGAATATGTTTAAAAAACTGGACACAGTGGCGTACACCTGTGACCCTAGCTACCCTGGAAACGGAAGGATGGTGAGTTCCTATTCAGGAAACTGAGGCAGAAAGATGTCGGCTAGGCCATTCAGCAAGATCCTGCCCCAACAAAGTGCAAAGGGGCAGGGTGCAGCTCAGCACGAGTGTTCCCTGAGCACCCCAAGGATTCCATTTGGATTCCATCTCAGCAGCACAGGAGTCTGTCGGGAGCCTGGCAATCACCTCGCTTTGGGTCACCACAGGCATCCAGCAGCAGAAGAGCTCCCACAGCTTCTGGAGGCCAGATGTCTAGAATCCGTGGTTTCCAGGGAGTAGACAGCAAGAGCTTTTGGGTCCCCACTCATGACCTGACCACTTCTTTCCACCTGGGGAGCAATTTACCTTGGGGTACAAACCTCTCCCCCACATGGCATGGGAGAAGCGTGCAGATGCCAATGGCTGGACCGCTGACCACAGGCTCCCAGCGTGCCTGGGGCAGCGTCCTTCTGTGTATTTCACTGGGACCTTTAAAAACTCCATGAGAGGCAGGGCACGGTGGTGCGTGCCTGCAATCCCAGCGTTTGGGAGACTGAGGCAGGAGGAGAGCCATGAGTTTGAGGCCCACCAGGGCTACAAAGCAAGACGCTGTCTTAAAAGCCAAAAAAACAAAAACAAAAAATTCTAGGGACTGGTGAGAGGATAAAATGCAGCTGAGTTCCCCTCCAAAAACTAAGTCAGTGAAATTGTGGATTCCCTTTCCCAGGAGCCCCACACACATACTGCATAGAGCTGCGCTGCCCCCTGGTGGCGTCCTTGGAGATGCTGGGCTGGAGCCGGGTGGGGTGTCGGAAAATCTCAGTGAAAGTTGGAGGACGGTGGGCTGCTCAAGGCCACCACGCCAGCTTAGACCCAGCCTGAAAGTTAAAAATAAGAGATGGGACATAACTCTGCGGTGGAGCAGTGCCGGCAGCTGCTGTGGCCTCAGCCCTGGCGTCTCCAGTCCAGCCTCCCAGACCTACAACACTTTGCCGCCCTGCACCGGGAAGAGGCTGCAGCTTCCTTGCTGCACAGCGGTGACCCTTACAGACAGGGTCACTGTCAGCTCGCCCTACGGAGAAATTAACAAAGTTGATTTTATTAAAAGGGTTAAATTCCATTCCTGGCTTCTAAATTCTGATTCTAAATTGGACCCAGCATTTTGCTTTTTAGGGCCCCAGGTGGCTGGTGCGGGGTGGGGATGTCACCCCAGGCATGGGCCTCACCCAAGCCCACAGACATGTGGCTCACACACGTCGACACACGTGTGCATGCGCAAACAGCAGTCCCCGACCCCGTGAGCTCGCAGCACCTCGGGGCAGGCGGGCAGATCAAACAGCTCATGTGGGACTCAGCCCCATTACCACGGAATCCGCCTCAAGTCGGTTCAGACAAATCCCTGTTTGTGGCACAAATCTCCAGGTGTGACCAGCAAGAATTTCCCTAGCTGTGAAGTGCAGTTCTGAGCAACAGCTGTCAAGAGAAAAGAACAACGGGCTCTGGCGGGAGCGAAGCCGACGGTGAGGTGCGTGCAGCAGTCCTCAGAAACTGCAAACAGGAACTGGTAACAGCAAATAACAGAAAAGTCAGGGCTGGGGATTTAGCTCAGCGGCATAAGTGCCTGCCTTGCAAGCAGGCAGTCGTGAGTTTGATCCCCGGTACCGATAAAAAGGGAAAAAACAAAAAATGGGAAAGTCGTTTTGATATTGTGTTAGCATCAGCATTAAATTTTAAAAAAGATAACTGGCCCTTCTCAATGAGCAGATTAAATTGATAAATTTCCTATTCTTTCTGTAGAAAATACAAAACCATTAACTTGTAAATATGTAATTAAAAACTATGAAGTCAGAAAAGTCGATGTAAAACTGTCACAGAGGTGACAAAATCCATAAAAATGGCGTTTCATGTGCCACTTCTCCAAATTCAGTGTGCTGTGATTCCTTCGCTGGGGTCAGGAGCTGTGGTCACACCGGTCCTCACCCACCATGCACCTGTGCCTTGATACCCAGGGACCAGTGATGTTGGGGACTCCAAGAAAAAGGAATGTTCTTGGAGCAAAGCCTGAGCAAGCACCCTCAGCCTGGGCAAATGCTCGTGGCGGGGTTTCCAGGGACTCGCAGACAGCAGGGCTTGGGGACCCCAGTGCCCAGGGCAGCTCTGGGAGCAGATATGGGCAGTGGCCACAGCAGGGCACAGGGCTGGGTGTCACTCAGGCCCTGACACCCAAGGTGGGAATCCCCCTAGCCACGCCCACCGGAGCCCCAGTCTCACCCACCCAACTGCAGTGCAGCTTAGAGACCTGGAGACCAGAAGGGGAGGAAATGCTCTCTGCAACCTCAGCCACCAGGGGGAGAGCAGAGGAGGGGTGAGCAGCCCCAGGACATGGTCCTGCATTCTGGAATCTTCCACACTCAGGTAAGCTAATTTCACCTCTAGGATAGAGTGCAGGGGAGGGGTGTGGAATGGTCTCCCCACGAAAGATGGGTCCAGGAGGCCCGTGTCAGACTCCCACAGACCTCGCCCATGCGCTGTGCCATCAGGGCATTTATTTCTGCAGTTGGGCCACACATCTCAGACTTGTGGTCTGGGCTCACTGACACCACATGCTTGGGGCAAAGGACAGCACCTCTGGCCTCCAGGCTCCTGGGACCAGGAAGGGAGCAGCACGGCCACAGGCGTGGCTTCTCAATGGCCAGGTCCAGGCTGGATGCAAGGTTCCAGATCTGATCCTGCAGTGCAGACTTGGGTCAATTCCTGAAGGAGATGCCAAAAATGAGAGAGAACAGACAGTGGGGTTGGCCCCACGGGGACACCACCGCAGTGGGACATGGCTGCAACCTCCAGGGCATCCTGAGGAGCCGGTAGAAAAATCCCAGTGGAGCCCCAAAGCCTCCCACAGACCCTGGAGGGATGTCATGCCAGTCCCTTGTGGCTTGGTCAGCTCTGAAACCCAGAGCCTGGGGAGGGAGTGGGAGATGCTCCCTCCCCAGCAATGTGGCAGCCTCCTGCGCACAGACACACAGACACATAGGCAGAAGTCTGCAGACAGAGAGACACAGACACACACAGAGGCACAGATACACATAGAGATGCAGACACTCGCAGAGACACGCTCACAGGCCTGTGTTAGTTCCTGGGCTCTCACCAACACCCTACCTTGGCCTCCCCACCCCAGGTTCAGCCCCTGATCCTGAAGGGATCCTGTGCTGCCCTCCAGCCATCGCAATCCAGAGCCTGGCTCAGAAGCCCCACTCTCCTCTGCTCTGTGACCATGGGCCCCCATGTCACGCATGTTCACTCTCAGCGCACATGACAGTCTTGATCCTGTACCCTTGCTCCACCTGGTCTGGCCTCGCCTACCGGTCACCCCTCCCTGCCCACGAGGGACTTACAGGGGCAAGCACTGGGCCAGGATTCCGGTACGGGGTGTGCAGCGGCGGGGACTGGAGTCCCGCTGTCGGATGCAGCACTGGCTCAGGCATTCACGGTGGCTCCTACAGAGGTCCCCTTTGAGCTGGGGACAGGGCCAAGGTTACACCTTGGGCCACGGTCAGGGCTGGGGCCACTGCTTGGGGACAGGGCCAGGATGCTGCCCACCTTGCGCCAGGGCACACACTGCAGGAAGATGGTCTTGGACACGCAGAACCTCTTCAGGCTGCGTCCAATCTGGCTGCAGCACCTGCTCTGACACTCCCAGTGGTGGTAGCATTGGTAGCCGACGGGCTGTGGGGCAGGAGTTCAGGTCCTCAGGTGTCCGGCATCCCACGCCTACACTCACCCACTGGCCTGCACAGAACAGGCCACACACCTTGTGCCACGGCAAGCAATGCTGGAAAAAGGTCTGAGCGGTGCAGAAACGATGAGGGTTCAAGCTGTTGGAGACACAGCAGCCACTCCGGCACTCCAGATGCTCCTCACAGGGCTCCCCGATGCCCTGCAACACAGGGTCACCAGACCAGCGCAGCCACCTCCCCCTGCCCAGCCATCAACCCCAGAAGAGGACTCAGCATGGAGATGGAGCAGAGAAGGTGCAGAGGGGAGCGGCGGCCTGGACCATGTGAGGAGGGGAAGCAGAGGCAGCGGCCAGAGGGAGCGAGTGTGGGGCACGCACGGACCATGGACAGCACCCGCTCTGCCCTCTTGCACCTCGCACGTTTGGGGGAACCAGCTCAGAGAGCTGTCCAAGGTAACACGGCTAACCAGGACCTGGAATGAGGACCACCATGGGGGCAAAAAGAGCGCACTGCCTGGGGCCGAACCCAGGGCTCACTGGGGAGACTGCAGCCGGGGTGAGGAAGGGACAGAGGAGGCGGATGCCCGAGGACGCTGGGTGGGGCATAAGGAGATAGGAGTCTGGCACAGCAGGGGTGTGGGCACCAGTGTGTTCATGGCCCAGTCCCCAACCCACAAGGCTCACCCTCCGCACTGGGCGGGACAGGCAGGTGCCTCTGCACTCACCTTGTTGAAGGCCTCAGGCCCCGGGGTCACCCAGAGAAGCAGCAGCAGTGTCCACATCCACATCCAGGCCGCACTGGCCATCACAGCACAGGCCTGCAGGGTCCCAGACGGAGTGTGGCAGTCTCCGGGTGCCCCTCGGCCTCCTGCCTTCTACCCTTCCTCTCCCAGACAGACTATAACAAAATCATGAACCACATTCTCTCTGCAGCTTCAGGTTTCCAGAGAAACCAGAAATTCACACAGTCAGGTCCTGCTCTTGACACGGTCACCCGTGGCAGCATGACTGTGACAGCCTCGAACCCCAGCACTGCCCTGAACCCCTGGCTGGCATCAGACACAGTGTGGGTGACAGGAGAAGCACGTGTGTCTACCTCCTCTGTAACCCTCCCCCCACCCTGCGCTGCAGAACACCCCATCCCGGAGCCGGAGTCACCACCTGTGGCCTTTCAGACTGGCCCCCGTCACTCGGCAAGTCAAACGCAAGGGCCACCTTTGTCCTTCCCTGGCTTGAGAGCTCACTGGTTTCTAATCCAGAAAGGGAAATGGCTTTTTAACAACCCTTTCCTGCAGGGAAGGACTGTGCCCTTAATTAAGCTAACCGAGGCTGCTGGCTGCCGTGGCGCCTGCTGTCCTCCTGCCCTCAGGCCAGGCTGCGCCCCTCCCAGCACTCAGTATCCTGTGGATAAAGGGCCATCGCTCTGCCCCAGTGTCCCTCCAGTCACAAAGTGGCAGCATGTGAGTTGGGAGAGGGTGCCATTTCTCATCTGCTATCTGGGGAAAGATGTTTCAATCTGCAGTCGCCAAGAGGGAAGATGTAAAGAAAGAGAAGACCGAAGCTCCCGAGCTCCGCAAACCCACACCACCATTTCTAATGCTCCGGGTGGCAGTGACTGCACTGGCCACGCCGCCCTGACATTGGCAGGGCGTCCACCCGTGGCTCCGTGTGGTCTACTCTGTAGGTGCTTGTGGCCCGATGCTCATATTTATTTTGTCCAAAGTTTCTGTTTCAGCACAGGGCTGCTCGGCCACCAGGTTGGGCTGGCACCTGCTTCGTGACATCTTCTCTGTGACACAGAGGGTAAAAGGGTGTCTGTCACCGGTGCTCGCTTGGCAGCAGGCCATGGTGACAGGAAGTGCACTGCGCTGAGCCTGAAGCAGGAGGCTTGAGGAGGCTGAGGCTTATTTGTTTGAACAGAACCTGTGTGGGTTCCTCCGCTGGGAGCCAGGAGGATGCAGCACCCTTGCCGGTGAGCACACTGGCTGTGCAGACACCCTGCAGGGCAGCTGGAGGCCCGGCTCTGGCTCCGCCTGTGCTTGAAGCTGAGGCCCCTAGGGCTGAAGCCTTCAGGTCCAGGCACAGCCTTGGGGGTGGAGCGCTGGCCTGAGCCCATTTGAACCCAGCTCTGTGTTCCAGAGAGACACACACTTGGAAGCTGGCTCCATCTGAGAGGACGATGTGCTCAGCATCGGTTTCTCGATGCCAAGATGGTGCTGCTTTGGGCCTGGTACTGTGTAGCATGGGTCTCAAACAGGACAGGGACCCACGAGGAGGAGATGAGCCAATTCTTAGGGGTGACAATGAGGACAGCCCTATGCATCAGAAGTCCCGAAACAGGGGTCTTTGTCCATCACAGCATCCGTGGCAAGTGGACAGTGGCTGCGCCACTGAGGTACTCATGCTGCTCATATGAGGTCATGGCCCTGTCGCACCTGCTAGTTCTGCAGGGCCCGTTGTGATGGTCACACTGATGGCAACACCCAGCTTGCTTTGTAGGGCAGACACAGCAACTCAACCCTGGTCCTGCAGCGTTCATACTCCAGCCCCAGGGAATGTATGCAGATCAAGGAAAGTCCAGCAGGACCCAGGGCCACAGTCTGGCACCCTTGGCCCCAGAGGCCGACATCCGGCAGTGACTGCATTTCCTGTGACTTCCCCCACTACCTCCCATTCAGACCAGGAGAGAAAGCCAAATGCACCCAGGCTACCTCCTCCCTCAGGGGCCCTGAGTGCTCTGCTCCTGTCCCCAGCCCTCCATCCGGCTGCACAGGCCCTGTCCTCTGAGGTCTGGTCCTCCCCTGAGCAGGAGGGGCTCTTCTGCCTCTCTGCAGTCAGGCAAAGACTCAGGTCAGCAGCACTCAAGAGGCAGAGCCACAGCCACTCAAGCCCCACAGTCAGCCGCTTCCACATCCCAGAAGCCCTGGGAACATACTTGCAGTCCTGTGAGTGAATGCATACGCACACTAATTTAAATAAAACTTAATGGAATGACGTGAAAGCCAAATTCAATCCCATTTGAACATTTTACAACTTCAAACTTTCCATATTCTTTTTGTGCTTAGAAATAGGGAGCACTTTTTTCTTTTTCAGTCTCAAAAATCTTCATAGGCCTGGACTCCCTCGGAGGCCCAGGTTCCAAGTCAGGTGGGCTGTAGTCAACAGAGGAAGCAGCTCCAGAAGCCCAGGAGGACCCCTTTAGCAGGTCGCAGTGAATGCAAGCGGAGGGGGGCCCGCAGCAGGGAGGACACCCTGACCGAGGCTGCAGCGTGGGTGGCCCTAGGGGCCTCTGGTCACTGATATGAGCTGCACGGAGTCCTGGGAGGGTCAGGCCCAGACCTCATTGAGGGTGGTAGCGCCCAGCTGAGAGGGCTGAGGTCCAGCTATGTGGGAGGATGGCAGAACTTGCAGGGCACAGACCGAACTGTGCTCAACTCCCTAGAACTGCCCACTTACAACAGCGAGAACACTTTGTTTTCTGTTCAGTACAATTTACAAAAATAAAAACAGTGCCAGGCCTGGTGGCTCACACCTGCAACCCCAGCACTGGGAAGGCTGAGGCAGGAGGATCACTGTGAGTTTAAGGCCAGCCTGGGCTACAAAGCTCAAGGCCAATGGGAACTGCAGAGTGAGATCCTGTCTCAAAAAGACAAAGACAAAAACAAAAACAAAAGCACCCCACAGATGCCTTGGGCAGAGCCCATTGGTGCCCTGCCATGCAGCCGTGTCTCACACGGGGAAGGCCACAGCCCTCCCACTTTGACACATGCTGTCCCCACAAGGCCCCTCTTTCCCAGATGTTCACTTCTACCCACCCCCATTTCCTCAGTGTCTCAGTGACCCCTGGATTCACACTATCAGTGTGCTCAGTAAAAGCAAGACAAGAAATCTTGCCAGGGGCAGCACAAGTCCCAGGAAAAATCTCCTGGCCTCTGATGCCACTTGCAACTTGACCCCTTCCTTGGGCACTGAGCACCAGAAATGGACTCGGCATCCCTGCTGAGGTGCAGCCTGGAGGCACACAGCCTGGCTTCTCCCAGGCTCCTGGGGCACTCAGGTTTCCACACTGAGAACACCAGGTGCCTGCAGGTTCCCTGCAGGGCTGGGCTGCAGCCAACGGGAAATGCTCTCAGGCCTGTTGTGGCTGGCTGCTCAATGGTCCCGCCCTGTCCTGTTAGAGCAGCGGCCAGCCTCTCCTTGTCCCCCCTGCCATCACAAATCCCACCTGTTCCTCGGTTAGAGGTGAGTCTAGCCCTCCTGCCACTTCCAGGAAGGTCACAGCCCCTCTGCAGATGGGTCACAGAGAGTCCCGAGCTGGATCCACCTGCTTCTGCATTCTTCTGTCCACTCCAGCTGAAGGGACTGAATGTGCCAGGATTCCACCTCCACATGACTCACGCCACACAGGCAGGTGGAAGCTACCAAGACCTCATTTAGTGATCGCAGTTTCCCTCTTCTGCCCCCTACCCATCTAGGACCACCCAGGGACCACCAAACACCCCTAACCAGGCACACCAGGTGCATGGGACCCCAGTTCCTCAATGCCACGTCCGCCCCAAGACAGGTCCCCCTCACACACACCCCTGCTTGTGCTCCAGGCCGACTCTCAGATCTGCTGAACAGCAGTGGTGCTTCTCTCTCACCTCTGTCCACTCGGTTTTTCTTGGAGTATGTGGTGCGAGTCTCTCACCTGCCTCTGATTTCTAGTCAATCAAGCGCCAAGCTCCTGGAGGAAAGGGCTCTCCTCTGGGTGCCTCGGTGCTGCCTGGAGTTGGCCCTGCTCAGCAGGGAGGTGGGGCGGGGACTCAGCAAGCAGGACATGGAGCTGGCAAGGGTTCAGAGAGTGATAGGCTGTGGGCTCCACTGCCAGGCAGCACAGGCGGAGGCTGAATCAGACAGGGACAGGGATGAGGGGGTACCAGGAAGCAACTGTGAGCAGAGGGAGGCCCTGCTGGGCAGTGGGAAGGACTGGAGGCCTCACATCCAGTGAAGCACACGTTCATTCTCCAGCACCGCAGAGCAAATCTCCAGCACTCACGACCTGAAGCATGTGCATTCGCTCCTACCCTGTGAACTGGTGTCCAGCAGGCTGCCCAGGCAACAGTCTGGGGGTGCTAGGCTGCCAGCTGTGCAGCTCAGCTTGCTCCCCAGGCTGACTGAAGGGCAGCCTGGGGCTCCTCATCCATTGCGCCTCCTCTCCTGGTGGCTATGGTATCCGGGAGCCACAGGCCCCTTCTGACCAGCACATAGCAGAGAGTCCAAAACAGCGCTGGCCACAGTGGGCTCAGAGGACAGTGGCCAAAAAGATTAGTGTCAAAAACAAGCCAAATACTTTGCATCAGAATAATAGGAAGGATGGTTTGAGGGCATTTTAGGAATCAGTAAGAGCCCACCCATTGTAGGCTCAAGGATCTGAAAGTGAAATACTGTGCTTTGCAAATAGAGCCCCAACACACCTGGGATTTGGTTCATAGTGCTGAGCCATGCAGGCACATACACCACAGAAGCCATGACTCAAAGCTACTGCTCAGGCTGGCTACAGACTCTGGCATCATCCAGATGGTGCTGGTTTTGTGTGTGTGCAGAATGCATGAGGGTTTAAGGGGGCTTCTACTCGGATTTCAAAAGGCCTGGGAGTCCAAGAGGTGTGGCCCTAAGGGATTAGCGGGGGAATCTGAGAGCATGAAGCTTAAAATATGATAGGAACTCCAGAAAGTTGGGAAGTCAGAAAATGCAACATCTCCTGAGGAAGGCACAGGCAGTGAGTAAACTGCCCCAAAAGGGAGGCCATGAGAAATGCTGCAGGGCTGGAACCATGCAAGCCCTTGACGTTCACTTGGCCCGAGTGATGGGCACGGAGCTGCAGAATTTCGTGTTTGCCCTGGTGGGTTTCAGTCTTGCTTTGGTCTGATCCCCTCGTTCTGTTTCCCTCCCTTTTGAAATGAGAATGTCTTTCCTGCTTTACTGTTCTACTGACAGAACTTAACTTCCTCTTTGATTTTACAGGGCTCACAGCTAAGAGCTTGCCTTGAGTCTCAGAGGACACTTTGGACTTTTCAGCAACGTTGAAACTGTTAAGATTTTGACAACTTGGAGAGGAACTAAACAGGTTTGCATAAAGAGAAGCACAGGAGTCTTTTGAGGGCTGGGGCAGGGTGATACAGTTTAGATACCGAATGCCCCCCAGGGCCTGGTGTGCTCAGTCACAGGCAGTGCTCTGGACGGTGATCCATCGGTGGGAGCGTGTACCGGATGTGCCGAAGGTCCTGTTAGGGGGTGAGGCCTGACTGGAAGGATGGGCCACTAAGGTGTGACTGGAGGGTGCATTCTTATCCTCGGCTCCCCCCTTTCTGCCATGAGGTGGGCAGCACTCTTCTGCCAGGCCTATCCATCATGCTGTTTCTGGTTTGGAGTGGACAGACCACCCATGGAGATCTCTGAAGCTGTGAGCCAACATAAGCCTCTTCTCCTTTAAGCTGCAGGTATTCCAGTTAACAGAAAAGTCAATGATATAATACCGCAGTTTTTAAATAGGATAAACTAATTATAACATTAATGTCAAAATTATTCAAGGGAGGCAGGGAATGGTAGCACACACCGGTAATTCTGGCCCTTGAGAAGCCAAGGCAGTAGGATCACTGCAAATTCAAGACCAGCCTTGGTTACAAACCAATTCAAGTCCAGCCTAAACTGTATAGCGAAACCCCGTCTCCAAAAATAAAAAATAAAAAGTCATGTCTATTTATGCTGGCAGGCACTTATGCAGGGGTGAGGCCATGAGTTTGAACCTTGGTACCAAAAATTTAAAAAAAAAAAAAACTGATGGTCAACTGAACACCAGCTGAATTAAATCAAGCATGGTGCTGAATGTAGATGTTCCACCTGAGGAAAGTTGCCAGCATAAATAGACATGGAGAAGAAGAGAGAGGCATTGTGGGGTTCTCTAAGTGTTGCTGTTTTGAGCGTTGATTCTCCTGGAGCTCTGGTCCTTACATTGAGCACCGCTTCCTGGCTCTGGAGGGAAAGGTGTGTGCTGTTTAATCTCCAGGAGAAGCTTGTCATGCTGGCTTTCAGGCATATACTCAACTGTTCTCATCATTGAAGGAGCTTAGGACCTCTGTGTCGCTGAGGATGCCTGTGGTACTTTTCAGGGAAGTCCTGGTCCTTATTTTGAGTGTGACTTCTCGGTTCCAGTGTAGAATCCTCAGCCTACTGGCACAGATCCTTCACCCCACTGGCATAGACTTTCTAGCTTCTCCCGCTGACCTTTGGGCTTTCCCAGCACAGATCCATAAAACACTGGTGTGAGACCTTCTTGTGGGCTCTAGACCTCCAGCTGGACTCATGGGAGACACTGTCATGAGTTCTGGGTCTTCAGCTGGGCTCATGCAGGACATTGCTGGTATCCAGGCCCTTGACTGAATATTCTGGGTCTTTAGTGTTTGTGGACAGATTTCCTGCACTTTCTTGTATTTAACTCTGAGTGACCATCATAAAATAAATTCTGTGTCCTGGCTCTAATTATTCTCCTCTCAACCCCTGACTACAACAGAGCCCAAGGCAGATTTTCAAGGGTAAGATCCCAAGGTTGAAGAATGCATGTGTGCAATTCATCACCAACAGCAGGAAGTGTGGAACAGGGTAGGGAGCCAGAGCCACCTGCGTCTTTATTGCAAAATTCTTATACAAGCTGTTATCTCATATTTGCATTCTCTTATGGTTGATGCATTGTGTCAACTTGAGAAGTTTAGAAATTTAACTAAGAGACTCGGCAGGAAGCCAGGATCCTTACTTTGGAAACATCCTCAGCCTGTGCAAGAGGAGGGCACAGAGGAGTGACTGCTGCCCCTGCCCTGGGGATGGGCGGCCTGCTTACACTATAAGGGAGGAGAAGAGGCTTGCCCTCCCCCTCCTGCTCTGACTGCTTTAGCTAGCTGCTGCCTTGAAGTGCTGCCCCGGTGCCTCGCCACCCTGCCTCGGAGCCAGCTGAGTACGGACTGAAACCTCCACCAACAGTGAGCTAAATAAACCTCTCCTTCCTTCATTTTGGGTGTCAGATATTTTGTCCCAGCAATGAGAGAAAAGTAGCCAAGACACACAATGCTGTCACCAGCGCATGCATGTTTACTTGTGCGAGGTCGTGGTTACTTAAGTAACAGTATCCCACTGTGCCGTGCTAGACAAGTGGGGTCACATCCTCACGTGTCCTTAGACACCCCTGAGCTTTGAAGCAATCTGAGTGGTTCCCCATAACTGGGTATCCACACAGAAAGGAATGAAGGTAGACCTCAAATCTCACACCATACCCCAAAATTAGCTCAAAATCCATTAAGACCTAAACTAAGGAGCTAAAACCATAGAAAACGTAGAAGAAAACATTAAGAGTAAATATTTGTAACCTTAGAAGGACATCAAAAGCATAAGCAACAAGTCCAAGGCATGGTAGCACATGGCTGTAATCCCAGCACTCGGGAGGCGGAGGCAGGAGGACTGCTGTGGGTTCAATGTCAGCCTGGTGAGTTCAAGGCCAGTACACAGTGAGATCCTCTCTCTCCAAACAGAAAAGGAAAGGAGAAAGAAAGGAAAAAGAAGAAAGAAAGCAGGAAAGCAGTGAAGCAAGATACTGCCATGTGGGTGAGGCTTGAAAATGCTGTGCTCAGCGGATGAAGCCAGGGGTAGCACATGAAACATCCAAAACCTGGAGACAGGAAGATCAGTTGTTGGCAGAGAGAAGGGAAACAGAGTGACTAATGGCTTAGGAGTTTATCTTGGGATGGTGAGAATGTTTTATTTTTATTTATTTATTTATTTATTTATTTATTTATTTATTTATTTATTGTGGCACCTGGGGTGGAACTCACAGCCTCACACTTGCCAGGAAGGCACATAAAGATCTACAAACCCCACAGAACCCACACCAAGACCGCTCGGGGCAGCATGGCCAGATTGCCACAGGGGTTAGGCAGACACAGGAATTTTCGAGCTAGAGTACCCATCTTGGGGATGCCCCAGGCACACAGAAACCTCAGCCTGGGCTGCTCACCCCGTGAGCACCCACACTCTCTTCTATGGAGGCTGCAGAGTCATAAAACAAGTTAATCTCAATGACCAAGCAGTGAACACTTTGGCCCGTCAGGCTTCTGGGACCTGATGAGCAAGCAGGATATTCGGCAGAGGCTAAGCTACACATGAAGGTCTTACCCATGCCTTGGACATGGAAAGAAGCCCCCTTTTCAGAGTCGGTGCACCCAGGTGTCCTTACTAAGTCATCCTCCAGGACCAAGGTCGTGGACCTTCAAATCAGCTCCCAGAATGTGGGCAAAGGATATCACACAGGTAAGGCCAGGAGAGGGCAGAGGCAGCCAACCTAAAGACGCCTTCCTGGTGTCCGCTGGGGTCACACCACCCCCTTGCCATGTAGTCCGCACCCTCCTTTGCCTCTTTCCCCTGCGATCGCCTCTCCCCTGTGTCCTTCCTGCCTAAATGTCTGCTTCTCACTGTTGCAGCCTGAGATTTTTTGCCTGTGATATAGGTTAGTGAGCCTACTGCCTGCTCGCTGGGCAGGGTGATTTGAGGTATCCCTCTCTTTTTGAGAGGATAGCTTGGACATCATCCAATGACAAAATGGTTGATCGTATGCTCAGGTGCTCTGTGGATTTCCTCTCCATAAATAAGAGTGTAAAATATTATTTTGTGAATTAGCTTTGAATTTACTTCAAAATGATGCAGGTAGGGTTGGGATATTAAGAAGTTACAAACTTCCCCAATTTTGGATTGCTAGAAAAAAAAAAAAAAATGGATTGGGCTGTGCACTCCATAATCCCAGCATCTGAGAGGCTGAGGCAGGGTCTCCAGTGTGAACTCAGCTGTGACCTCCTAGCAGCTAGGTGAGTGCCTGTCCAAAGCCAAAAAGTTACAAAGCGTGGAGGACACAGAGCAGCTCGCCACGAAGGCCCTGAGTTCCAGCCCCAGTTGGGGGTGGGGTGGAAAGTGGACAAAGGGCAGCGCACTGGGCACCGCTGTGGGCCCGGGTTGCTGCCTCGCCTGTCGCCTGTCTCGGGCGGGCGGGCGGGCGAGCCAGGTTCAGCCCCACCCAGCGCTGCTCCTCCCTCCCGGCCAGCCAGCCGGCCAGCAGTCCCCTCCGAGCTCCAGCCTCCCTCCTCCGGCACCTGCGGCACGCAGTGGGGGCCCTGGGTGGTGCAGCCCGAGAGCAGGGTTCTGGGCACCATGGCTGCCACCCACCCCAAGGCCCCCACAGCGCAGCGCCTGGCCCAAGGCTGCTGGTCTGCATTCTGGGACTACGAGACGCCCAAGGTGATCGTGGTGCGCAACCGGCGCCTGGGGGTCGTGTACCGGGCGGTGCAGCTGCTCATCCTGCTCTACTTTGTGTGGTGCGCAGGGCGTGGGCGGGCTGGGGATGGGGACCGGATCCTGGGTGCCGGGCTGGAGTCAGGGCAGGGACTGGGGGACCTGTGCTGGGAGCACAGGGGAGCCTGGGCACAGGGCTGGAGTCAGGGCGGGAGCTGGGAGAAGGGAGCCTGGGTGCAGGGCTTGGGGCAGAGACGGGGGCCTGGGTGCTGGGGTGGATACCAACTTGGGAAGGGGTGAGCTCAGCTGAGGGGGCTCTGGCTCCCCATGCAGGGGTAGGGGCTGGCAGTAAGCAGCACAGGGCTGGGGAAGGAGCCAAGCAGAGGAAGTGGGGAGCTGGGCTGGGTGGGGACAACATCGCACAGGAGGCTGGGGCCCTGCAGGTACGTGTTCATCGTGCAGAAGAGCTACCAGGACAGCGAGACGGGCCCCGAGAGCTCCATCATTACCAAGGTCAAGGGGATCACACAGTCTGAGCACAAAGTGTGGGACGTGGAGGAGTATGTGAAGCCCCCTGAGGTGCGGCCCTCCCCAGGCCTGTGCCTGCCTCAGGCCCCAAGCTGAGAGCTGGCTGGCCCACTGCTCCCTCTCTCCATCCAGGGGGGCAGTGTGTTCAGCATCATCACCAGGATTGAGGTCACCCCCTTCCAGACCCTGGGTGCCTGCCCAGAGGTGAGGGCAGTGGAGGGAGCCAGGGAGCAGCCCTGGCAATCTGCAGGGTGGCTCTCTGATTCCCTCTGCACCCTAGAGCATAAGGGTCCCCAACACCACCTGCCACTTGGATGCTGACTGCACAGCTGGAGAGCTGGACATGCTGGGCAATGGTCAGTGGTTGCCGCGGGTGGCTGGGTGGGCTGCAGCTGGGCCAGAATGAACCAGTGTGTGCCCTGCAGGGCTGCGGACAGGGCGCTGCGTGCCCTACTACCATGGGGAGGCCAAGACCTGCGAGGTGTCCGGGTGGTGTCCAGTGGAGGATGGGGCCGCAGTCAGGTGCGCAGCTCCCTCCTCATGGGCAGAGGGCAGCAATGGGGGCAGGAAGGGGTCCTCACATCCCTGTCTGTTCCCCCAGCCACTTCCTGGGTAAGATGGCCCCAAACTTCACCATCCTCATCAAGAACAGCATCCACTACCCCAAGTTCCAGTTCTCCAAGTAAGAGTCAGCAGGGCTGGGGGCTGGCACGGGCATCTGGGACAGGGTGTGGGGTTCCAGGCCTCTGCCACTCCTAGGGGCAACATTGCACACCGGGAGGATGACTACCTGAGGCGCTGCACCTTCGATCAGGGCTTTGACCCCTACTGCCCCATCTTCCGGCTGGGCTTCATTGTGGAGCAGGCTGGGGAGAACTTCACAGAGCTGGCACACAGGGTGAGAAGGGCCTCCTCCTCTCAGAGAGCCACGCTACAGGACACAACACTCCCCAGCACATGCTCCTGGGCTGACCCCTCCTCCTGCCCTTCCTTGCAGGGTGGTGTTATTGGCGTCATCATCAACTGGGACTGTGACCTGGACCTGCCCTCATCCCACTGCAACCCTAAATACTCCTTTCGGAGGCTCGACCCCAAACACGTCCCCGCCTCCTCAGGCTACAACTTCAGGTACCTTCCCAGAGTGCCCTGGAGAGGGAAAATGGGCCAGTGGGCACTGCATTCTGCTGGGCAGCGGTCGCTTCACCCCAGGTTTGCCAAGTACTACCGAGTGAACAGCACCACCACCCGCACACTCATCAAGGCCTATGGGATTCGCATCGATGTCATCGTGCACGGTCAGGTAATGTGGTGCCAAAGCCACCTGCTCAGTCCCTGCAGGCCCTGGCAGCCCCTACAGGTCTGACCAAGCCCATCCCACCCAGGCAGGGAAGTTCAGCCTGATTCCCACCATCATCAACCTGGCCACTGCGCTGACCTCCATTGGAGTGGTAAGGAATCCACTTGGGGACTGGGTGGGGTTGGGGGGGGGTTGCAGGCTCCTTACCCACTGGTCTCTACCTGCCTTAGGGCTCCTTCCTGTGTGACTGGATCTTGCTAACATTCATGAACAAAAACAAGGTCTACAGCCATAAGAAATTTGACAAGGTGTGTGCGCCAAGCCGGCCCTCCAGCAGCTGGCCAGTGACACTTGCTCTTATTCTGGGCCAGGCTCCCCCACCACCCAGGCACTGCTCTCAGTCCCTGGCACCTGGCCCATCAGGCCAGTGGGGCCCACAAGGGGCAGAGCCAGGCAAAGTTGTTGGGTCTCCAGAATCCCACTCCATACCCGCCCTGTCTGAGCAGATAGCGGACACTCCTGACCGGTGTGTAGGACAAGGGCTTCCCTCTTCTGAGTCGCCCCTGCAGGACTCCACACCCACAGACCCCAAAGGTTTGGCCCAGCTCTGAACTTCTGGTCCTCACTGTGCTACAGACCTAGGCTCCAAAGTCCCCACCCAGCTGCCTCGGCACACCCCCTAGCTATGCCTTGGATGCCCCTGGAAGCCCAGGGGCAGAAGCCCTAAGCAGAGGGATCCAGTCCCCACGCCAGGTCTGCAGACAGGAGGGTTCCTGCCAACTGGAGACCTCCCTGCCTGCCACCACCCTCTGACAACCCCTGGGGGACCCCACATCACAGCTGAGTTCTGAGGAGCGAAGTCCATGCTCTTGCCCCCAATCCCCACAACCCTGCCAGACCTTCCCCTGGAAGCCACAGCATCCGGAGTCCAATAAAACTGAGTTGCAGCCCATGGTCTTGTTCTTAGGGAAAGTGCTGTCTGGGTAACCCACACATGACAGCCGTCCCCACCTGGGGACAGAGTGCAGGGCACCTGCGGTTATGCTGTGTGTGTATGTGTGTGTATGCACACACCAACAGGTGTTGGCAAGGCACTGTGCTAAGTACAGGGGCAGACAGTACCTCCACCTGCACTAGGTCTCAGGATGCCATCTGGTCCCAAGACCCAGGAGCTGGGAGGAGACACAGTCAATCTGCCCCAAGCCAAGTCTGGAAGGTCCCTAGTACAAATTCCAAGTTTCAGTGACACCTCCTGTGGGTGCTTTGGAGTGACACTGGCTTCCAATGCTTATGAAAGCCTCCCTTTCTTGGTCAGGTCCCATATGGTCCACCTAACACCTGTGACATCTTGTCTTGGTTTGTAAGATGTCTAGAGAGTGAGTCTTTCCACTTGGGGCCCTGGCTGCAATTCAGGAGACTGCCTGCTGGCTCAGATTTCTCACTGGGCCCCAGGACTGACAGTGCTGTTCTGCTGAGACACAATTGTCACTGGGCCCAATCACACCCCTCACCCATCTCCATGTCTGCTTCCAGGAAGTCCAGTTGCCCTCCCCCTCCTTCCTCTCACTGCTGGCCCTAATTTGATTAGATCTCCACTCCGGAGGTCTCAGCCCAGCTCAGGCCTGGCCCACATTCCAAGCCAGCAGGTCCAAACAGTGTCAAATTTCTCCCCAGACTGAGGGGGCGGAGACTGACAGGCTGATGCCAGATATCAAACTACTTGTCTTCCAGGCTCACACAGACACACAGCAGCAATCTAAAGCAAGGTGGAAGTATACCATTTAGGTGAAAAAGCACAAGAATGGTATCAGATAGCAAGGACAAAGACAGACTTGAGTCTCCTGGGATCCTGTGGGGCCTCCTACCGTCTGGGGGCTCTGCCTGGCTAGGCTGGCCCTGGCCTGGGTGGGAGCTGGGCTCAGCTGCCCCTGCCATTGTTCCAGTGTAGAGGTATGGCCCTCTGCAGTGCTGGGACACTGGGTGACACAGACACCTCTTCTGGCCTGCTCTAAACAGGAAGTCCACAAGGAGTAAACAGCTGAGTCCCACAGGGTAGGGTCAGGGTTTCCCAGAAACCAGCCCAGATCCCACTCCCACTAGGCAGGAAGGTGGGAGGGGCTCCCCTTCTCCATGGAACACTGGCAGCTCCAGCCCCACGCAAAGCACAGAAACCCTTCTCATTCTGTGTGTACCTCACAGCTGTGCCCAATCCCCGAATCCTCTCCCAGGCCTGCTCTGGGGGTGGTCCGGAGCCGGACCTAGAGGAAGAGCTGGGTGAGGTGTGTGTCTCAGGGGGTTTACCCACTCTACCTAGTGGGTGCGGGAGCCCTCAAAACATGTTTATCTTGTAGAAAATGACCTTCGGTACCCGAGGTCTTCTCACTGGAGGGCACCAAAGGCACTTCCTGCTCCTGTCTGCTCAGGGCCTACTGTGGCCACCCTCGGGGCCTTGGAGAGCTGGGGGATGTGGCGCCTAGTACCATCATGAAGGGACCACTTGAGGGCCCTTCTGCAGCAGCCACTCCAGGGTCTCTGTGAGGTACGACATGCCATAGTGCTGGGCAATGTTCCGGAAGATCCCAATCTGTTCCATGAAGACCTAGAGGAAGAAAGAGATGCAAAACACCAGTACCACCCAGAGAAGGGGGAGGAAGTGACAGGCCGGGGAGCACAGCCCACCTGGGTGTGGATGGTGAGGGCAAAGTCCCCTGCGCAGCCACAGTACACGGGCATGTGGGTCTCCTTCACGCCGCCACACTTCTGGCAGACCTGCAATGGGAGCAGCCCATGGGCACGGTGCCCTTGGCCTCCGCTGCCTGTGCAGGGTAGGATGCATGCTGGGCAAGCTTGGTCAGCCTGCAGCACCACACAAACCTCCCAGCCTCCCTACACCATCTGCCTTGTTGGGGTCTCCGTCCCAGAGCCCAGACCCTGGGGCTTCTGCTAGGCCCTGCTGGCTCTGTCCATTCATGGTACCGCCCAGGCAGGTTGCTCAGGCCTCTTCTCAGATGCCTTCCTTGCACCTCACGGGATGCAAGTGCTAGCAGCCAGTCCTGCCCTGATCTGGTACTGAAAGGCACTGACAGAACACGTCAGTGGGGGAGGTGACCCAGGGCCCATGCATACTCCGTTTCCTGGTGTCCATCCACTGCTTATCCAGAAAGCCCAGACCAACAGCAGGGCCTCACCAGGTCCTGCAGCGTGAAGGCCATCAGCTTCCTCTGCAGGGCTTCTACCAAGGCAGCTTCGATGGCCGCTGAGTCATAGGCAGCTTGACAGTTGGAACAGAGCCACTGTGGTAGGACAGCCCCATCCTAGAAGAGTATGGAGAGAGGTGAGCGGTGGCCACGGCAGACCAGGACAACAGCATGGCCAGCACCATCCCCACTAGCACCCGGCCCGGGGAGCTGTTGCAGCACACAGCACAGTCAGCTGCTGCCTGCGACTTCCACCAGGACGACACCCAGGCCAGCAGCCGAGTAGGCCCAGGAGGGCAGGGGTGGCAGCAGCTGCAGGTTCCACCAGGAAGGGCTGCTTCGAGTCTGAGCGCACCTGGGAGAAGGAGGAGTCTTTGCACAGGTCCAGGTCACGGCAGAAGTTGCAGCTGCGACAGATCACCTCGGGGAGCACGTAAGAACGGCAGGGGTCTCTGAACTGGGCTTCCTCTGAGAACTCGCCCACATCCACCAGGCGGAGCAGGTCTCGGTTCAGTTTATTCACCTGGTTTGTGATGTTTGTATCTAGGGAAAGCACCTGAGGGGACCGCAGGCCATCAGGAAGCAGCCCCTCAGCCTGCCTGCCTCTGTCGTCTCGTGCCCCTCAGCCCCTTCAGCAGTCAGGGGACACTCCTCTGTGGTGCCCGTTTCCCCACTGAGTGGAGGCCCCACTGGTGAAGTGAGCCAGAGCTTAGGGAAAAAACAACACCGGTTCTGCAGAACACCTTCAAACAGCAAAGAGGGAAGGCACCCGACTTGCCTGAGGAGGCCAGCATCACCTGGGCGCAACACCAAAGGCACAGGGAAGCACAGCCCAGTGACTCACAGCCCTGAGAACACACACAGAAACCTTCAACAGACATCAGCATGACCCAGCCGTACACTGAAAGGAACACACGATCCAGAGGAGACTGCACAGACAGAGCCAAGTGAGTTCTGGAAAGGTGCAGGGAGCCTTCAGTGGGGAAAGGGTGATCTCACCAAGGTTGGGTATCTACCCAATACCTCCACGCAGAAATAAGAACCTTGACTTGTAACGCACTTAACCCAAAATGGACCACAGGTTAAATGCACCACCGAGATGGAGGAGGGAGGGACAGGAACAGGACATGAGAAGAATTACAATGTCTCATGTACATGTAACCATGAAGAATATAATCCCTACACACCACAAGCATGGACTAACAAAAATAAAATAAGTGTAGAACCAAATGTAAGACTTGCAGAAGAAAACATGGAAAATCCGCATCCTTAGGGAAAAATTCCTTAGATATAACACCAAAGCGCAGTTTGCTATATCTGATAAAGGATTTGTGTCCAGGACATAAAGAATTCTTTACTACAAAGAGAAAACCATGCAGGGGCTGGGTGTAGGCTGGTGGTGGAGCACTTCCCTGGCAGGTGCAAAGCACTGGTTTTCTTTTTCTTTTTTTTTGGTACCAGGAATCAAACTGCCTCATATCTGCCAAGCAGGTGCTGTGCCACTGAACTATATCCTTGGCCCCATACCCCTGGTTTTGATCCTCTTTCAAAAAGAAAAAGAGAGAAAGAACATATTCAATTTTTAATAATGGGCAAAAGATTTAAATATTTCATCAAAGACCTGGACAGCACACAGCTCATACAGAGAGCTCAGCACCACTGGTCATTAGGTAAATGCAAAACACCCCAAGGAGATTCTGCCACATATATATCAGAATGATAAAAATGAAAAAACACAAACAGCACAGCGTTCTAGTGAAGCTGTGTAGCAGATGCAGCTCTGGTCACTGCCAGAGCTCCTTCTGCAGACTCAGAGCCCAACGCTTTCCACTGGTCCAGCAAGCCCCTCCCTGGGTTTTTACCAAGACAAACACACAGGTTCACACAAAAGCCCACTGAAGACCGTTCACGGGAGCTCCGTTATTAATCACCACAAAGTGAAAACAACTCAGATGTCCACAAAGCAGTGAGCAGAAAGCAGACTGTGGGCTGACTGTCCATGCCACAGATGCCTGAGCAATGGAGAAGACACTGACCACAAATGGATAAATCCCAACGTGCGCTGCAAAAGTGAGAAGCCAAACCCAGGGGTGGGACAACAGGATTCTACCTCGGTGCTGTCAGGGACAGGGAACAGCCCCATGGCTGCTGGGGTACCCGGGAACATCGTCCCAGCTCACCCCACAACAGTGCAGTCACAGAGGCCTAAAAGGAAGCAGCACGGAGCAGAGGGCCACCTGGGGCTTCGAAGGGCTGCAGCGGGGAATGTGATTCACCTCCTCGATGCGATGGGAGGGAAGGGAAGGGAGGTGCCTGTGCCTGGTCAGCCTCCCAGATTCGCACTGCCATGGGTCAATTATGTCTTAATGAAAACAAAGCATTTTAGGGTTCCAATTCCTTTAAAGAATCCTGAGTGGTCACTTGATCCTCACTCTGCCGCCAGGGCTGGCAGCTTGGAGGGATGCTCAGGTATCGCACTGGACAGTGAACACTCTGTGAGGGCTGACGCCATCTGGGCGCTGCCTGGTAACCCCATCCCCCTTGAGGCTGTTCTTGGCCTGCCTTTCCTGAAAAGTGAACTCTCCCATCGCCTCATTTGGTTTCTGAGCTCAGTTTTGGCTCATCAGGCCCGCTGGTGGCATGTGACCCAGAAGGTCCTTCCTCCCACTGCCTGTGTCCCCTGCCTGGCCAAGACATTTACCGGCATACCAACCTCCCACCAGGGCTGTTGCACCTGCACAAGGTCCCAGCATCC